AATATTTCTAAAATTGGAAATTTTAAACGAATCGAAAGAACACTTGGAAATCTCAGATCGATCAATTCACGCGTACTTTTAGCTTTCAATTTTCAGTCCAATATTTTTTCAAACACACATTACGCATTGTTGAATTGAAGAAGTAAAACTAGAGAGGTAAATGGAATTTTACGGTGTTATTCTTCTGGTAGGATGAATAAAACAGCCTGAAGATTGTAATTTCGCGAGAAAAAAGTCGTTTTTCTGCCTCGATTCGTGGTCTGATCTCGTTCATATTGTACGACACAATCGTGCTGGTGTATTCAGTTTTCTTACCATCGTTCACATACGGAACGTTGATTAATATGTATGCGGGACATAATCTTTACTACTGTTGCATCGCCGTTAGATAAGGCTGTGGGAGGCTTACCGTTAGAGCGTGTAAAACGTAAACGCATCGCGTGCAAGGAAGTCGACTTTACGGGCTTTCGACCTCGGCAAGTATGCTGGCAACGAGACCCATCGTTGCGCGTGTAATGGAATATTTGATTATAATAAGGTGTGATAGTTTGATGGGACATGATAAATGGGTTAGAATACATTTCCATTGTAATGCTGCTTGTATGAGTTTCTTAGAGGTGCTAATAGGTAGACGGTTTTACTGAATTCCCGAGGAATGCGGTGCAATGAAAATTGATAAGGTGATATTTGAAAATTGATGAAAATTAATCGCGTGGAAATTGGAAATGAAGGTAAATCTATAACGTGAAACTTGGAAGTGAATGGAAATTGATCGTATGAAATTTGGAAATGAAGAAAATGTAATAATGTGAAAGTTGGAAATGAAGAGAAATTAATAACGTGAAATTTGGAAGTGAAGAGAAATTGATAACGTGAAATTTGGAGGTGAAGAGAAATTAATAACGTGAAAATTCGAAATGAAGAGAAATTAATAACCTGAAATTTGGAAATGAAGAGAAATTGATAACGTGAAATTTGGAAATGAAGAGAAATTAATAACGTGAAATTTGGAAGTGAAGAGAAATTGATAACGTGCAATTTGGAAATGAAGAGAAATTGATAACATGAAAATTCGAAATCAAGAGAAATTGATAACGTGAAATTTGGAGGTGAAGAGAAATTGATAACGTGCAATTTGGAAATGAAGAAAAATTGATAACATGAAAATTCGAAATGAAGAGAAATTGATAACGTGAAATTTGGAAATGAAGAGAAATTAATAACGTGAAATTTGGAAATGAAGAAAAATTAATAACGTGAAATTTGGAAGTGAAGAAAAATGAATAACCTGAAATTTGGAAATGAATGTATATTAATAACATGAAATTTGGAAATGAAAGACTATTAATAACATGAAATTTGCAAATAAGTAAAAATTATGACACTGGAAGAACCATTTAAAATTTCCTAATCTTTTACAAATTGACATAGCTATATACCTACAATTATTCAACAATTTTAAAATCACGTTTAACTGAACAACAAAAGCGAACAAACACCAAAATAAATTCTCCTTCCTCCCAAACGAAAAAAGAAGTCAAAAACAAGATTGAAATCAAACCACATTATTCACCGTTCCAAAATACAGCAAATAAAATCTACACACTTCGTCATCAACTTTCACAATTTTCCATACACAGCGAAACACTCGCCGCTTACGAATTTCATTTTTCTCACGCGTCAGATGTCCCGTGGCGGCAAGTAGTATAGGTCTGCATACGCCAGACGTGTAAAAGCTGCGTGAAAGTTTCGTCTGTGTTGGACGCATGGGAACGACCGATAGTAAGGTTCGGCCGCGATACACAGAGGTATGTCGATGATTTCGAGTGGCACTCGAGTAACTCATGCACCGATTAAGTGTACAGTCGAGGATCCGAGGAGGAGGAGCTTGTGTGAACGTGGTCGAAGAGTGTTGCTTTATCACTGGCCGCCGAATGTTGCGACACGTTCACGATTCAAGTTACACGCCTTTGGAATTTATTGGCTTTAGATCGAACCTTCTCATCCCGCCTATGTATTTTTTTCCTTCTTCAACTTGCAACCTTCGACGTGGAGCTTGAGCAAGTGCAACGGAGTACAGAGTCGTACTTATTACGTCGTCTTATTACACGTTGCTTTCACGAACTATGCAAAAATTTATTTTAAAAGAATGATTTTTTTGGAAAATTTTCAGTTTTGTACAAACATTTTAGTATTTTTTGAGAAATTGGGAACAGTTTTGTTTAATAGAATACAGAAGGATGTGTGCACTTTTTGAAGACAGAATGCGAAGATGATAATAATCAAATTAAAATAGCAAACAAGTTGTAATTTGCGAAAGTACTCAGGTGCACTGAAACACAAATCAACATGTGAAAATTGGCGAGGTTAACTTTGGGTGTTTTCGTTTATCTAAGACTAAATAAGCAAAAATACTTCCTACTATAAAAATTCATTTTATAAAAATAAGCCGCTGTTTCGTCGGTTGACATTGTTTCGAAAATAAAAAGCCGATTTCTCGGGAAAAATGCAGATATTTCGGCTCTAAGGTGCTGAAAGGGTTAAACGTGGAAGTGTAGCCAAAGGCGAGCAGATTTTTAGTAGTGTTATATATTATTTATTAATTTCTATTAATTATTAGCATTACAATTCCCAAACATTCGATCTCCTTAATTATGACTTACGGATCCTCCTCCTACCTCTACATCAAGACATTTGTAAGCCCTAAATATATCTCTGTTTCAGCTTAGTCTCTATGCTACTTATTCCTAACTTCTTTCTGAATCCAATTAGCCACTTCATCGCAATATTTCCATTCCGTCATACGATGTTCCAAATTTCCCTCCTTATCATTGCATAATTTACACATCTTCTTATCTTCCTCCAGTGAAAATTTGTTCGCCTCCCCTAAATCGTCATATCTTAACCTTGCAATTTTTTCTTCACCTCGTTTCCCTAAATATGTCACAAGTAATCATTCAACATATTTCTAATTTTCATTACATCTACTATTGCCCCTTTACCTCGTCCCCCAAATATTCCCTACCTAATGATTCACGTTCAACATATTTCCAATTTTTATCACATCCACTATTACCAATTCTATTACCCCACATTTGCCATACAGAAATAAACAAAATCGTCGTTGTTTTCACAACTAACACGCCAATTACCGCAAAACTCGCTACACCTCACCGTCCCAAGCAACATTGCTCGAGCAATGAAATTTCCTAAAAAAAGGAAAAGAAGAAAAATCCCTTATAAAAAACCACTTAAAAACTACATTCCACTCGACGCACAGTATCTCCATCAGGATTACACCACACTCGACCAGCCAAACATATAACCGCCGTTTGCCAAGTTACAACCGCGTTCCTCTCATTTTTTTCTTCTTTTCCCCCCGTCGAGGATCGAAGAGAGGCAGTTGTTTGGGTCGGGTTGTGCCAGTTGCCAGCGATTCCATACCGGTCGATCGTACGATTTTTCCGTAAAACCGCGTAGATGCTCGCGTATATAGTATACACGATGGGAGGATCGCGAAGGCCACGATCCGCGAAACCGAGTTAAAATGCGTGACGCGAGTGTGCACGCAACGTGGCGCATAGACACGCGGCTAGAATACGTACCGAGAGGCTGATTTATCGCGTGGGCTCGTGCGCGCGAGCCACGTCCCCTTATCTGCGCTATTATCTTCTGGATTGAAGAAAAATTGAACTTTCGTGGGTGCGTCCGTTTCCTGGTTGCATCGCTCGCGGCGTTGAAAAATCGCGGGTCGGTAATCATGCTTGTTGTTCTGCTGGGTCTTGATGCTGCGCGCGCGACCGGTCGGCGCGGGTTTTAGCTGTGGAGTTGTGTCGGGAGAGTTTAATTGTTGGATGGTGAGTGAAGAATTTTCTGATGTTTGTTGCGTTGACTTGAAATTTCGATGGGATTTTTGGCGGAGAAATTTCCGTTTCGTTGATTTTTAAGGTAAAAAGTTGGAGTTACGTTGTAAGAGTGAAATGGAAGAATTTAATTATTGGATATTGTATGAAAAATTTTTATCTTTCTTATGTGTAGACTTGAAATTTCGTTTTCAGTAAAAATCAGTGGGGTTTTTAGTGGAGAATTTTTTGTATGGATGGTTTTGAAAGGAAAAAATTGGAATTGTATTGGAAAAATAAAATGGGAGAATTTAATTATTGGATATTGAAGATCCAATAATGAGATTTTTCAAGATCGTGTCGTTGATTTTAAAGACAGCAGAAGAGGGAGGAAAGATCTATTAATTGTCCATAAAAGACACTTCTTTGGATAGAGAGTTTTGTCGTAATTAGGATAAAATGTGACGAGGTTTAAGTATATTATGTTATTTAATAATGTTGTTGGTAGTTTAATTCAAGATTGACAATGTGCAGGAAAATATTGAACAGGTTTTATAATTTGTCATGAGAATCATGACTTAAATACAGCAGAAATTGCTGTGAAAACTTTTTGTATTTATTAAATTAATGTATACACTGAATAAAACTAAGTGCATAAAAAATGTCAAACAATGTTATTAATTATACGATACAGCTGTCAAAAAACAATAGTCTATAAAGTAACATGACACTCTTCGATTTACTGAAATATGAGTGCACATAATTCAAAGGACTAATTAAAAAAAAAGTAATTAATTCGCCCAATTCAGGCAACTAAAACGAAAAGAAGAAAACTAATCGAAAACCCACTTTTTATCATCCTTTCAATAGATACAACACTTAAGTTACAGAAAACATCCTTCTAATTAGCCTAAGTTATACGAGAAAAAAAAAAAAGGAATAGCACAAGAACGACAAGTACGTATCGCTTAGAAAGGTAAAGAATAACTTACAGACTCAGGTGAAAGAAATCTGAAGAAGCCTGCCAAACATTAAGGAAAAGCATATAAATTTCAGTGATAAAAAGAAGAAAAAAAAGGCCATCGTAAAGTGTTTCCCTGTGTTAGTTATTTGACGTCGATTAATTTCTCTAATGGCGCACCTTTCTATTCGTTACAGAACGGTGAGAGGCTCTTCATCGGGGCGCCAGGAAGTTGGTACTGGCAAGGTAAGGTTCTTTCTTCATACATTCTGCTTCTCAAGTACAATTTAGGTCGACAAATTTCACAATCGAAAACCACATCGCAACGCGACACCTTATTCGACTTGTAAATGCTTGTATTAGTCTTATTTCAATTTCCGTTTAATCGGGTAGAGAATATTCGGAGACGGTGGGAATTAACGAGGAGTTTGGAATTTTGTGATATGCATGTCATTATTTCTGGAAATATCTAGCATTGGCCCTTTAAATTTGTACTTTTTTAAATACGAAAGAAAATTTTATATGATCTCAGTAATTTATTATTGCATTGATAAAAATTTTTAAAGCGTGTCATCAAACGGTAAAAATTGAGAAACACTTTTCTTTTGGAATTTTTAATATTATTTAATTCTCCTCGTGTACATTTTTGTTAATTGAAAAATTCCGTATTTGAAATTTTGTGTCTCTATTATCAGCTTCCAAAGGGTTGATAAAAAAATTATACTTAAATTTTCTCACGTATATTTTTCTTAACGAAAAAATTCCTCGTTTAAGTCTCAAAAATTTCTGTTATTAATTTCCAAAGGGTTGACAAATTTAGCCGACCAATGGAATTTAACTTTTAATATTACTCAATTCTCCTCGTGAATATTTCTCTTAATTACAAAAAAGTCCACATTTAAAAAAATTTCTACTATTAATTTCCAAAGGGTTCATATATTTAACTTAACAGAGGAATTTCGTTTTTAGTATTACTCAAATCTCCTCGCGAATATTTTTCTTAATCAAAAAATTCTACCATTACTTAGTTTCCATAGGGTTGCTAAATTGAGCCTCTCGGAAAATTCAACCTTTCACAAAGTCAGACCATAATTTTAAGAAGCGACAGAAACCACCCCCGATTCTCCCTAAACCAATTGGGCTTGTAAAAATTCTGAACAAAGAAAATTGCAATTAAATTGAACCAATCCCCGCATTAATTGAACGGTGAACTGCCACTGGGCCACTAATAAAAAACCGAGGAACAAACATGAAACATAAAAGTTCGAGCTTGCATAAACGGCTGGGCGAGCGAACTGCAACACAAACACCACGATCATTCGTGCTCTGTGGATGTTTAAAGTGATTTAGAGGCTTTCGTTGAACGATTCCAGGTCAGATATACTCGATCAGCACCGCTATGAAGTTGAAGTTCGTAGCGACGATGGTCACCTCCGAAGCAGAAGCATCAGGTACCGCGTAATTGTGGAAGACCCTAATCAAACGAGATATAAAACCATTTTGTTGTTTAAAACCAGCCCCCCCCCTTTTAAACACCTCTACATTGTCGTCATTACTTTTTAACGACGACACTCCATTAATATGTGTTGCTTGATGCTCAGAATACGATTTTTGCATTTTTGGATTTCTCACCATTGAAACGGTGTGAAGTGTTCGAAATTGGAGGACGTTTGATAGTGTCTCTGTTGCTTTTGAAGGTAATTGGGAAATATTTTTGAGAATGACGGGTAGGTGAAGAGGGTTCCAAATTTTTTTCTGATCATTTTAGATTTTGTAGATTCTAAAATTTCTTGAATTTTCTTTTTAAATTTTTAAAAATTTTTAGACTCTATAGTGATTATTGTCGTTCATAGTAGCGAAACGGTTAATTTGATAAAAGTGTAAGATTTTTTTATAACGTGTCGCAGAGAAATAGTTTTTTTTTTTTACAATTGTGTAATTAAAATATTAAAACAGATAATTTTGCGCTATTAAAGAAGAAAGAAAATAAGTGACAACAATTAACCCCTTAACACAGAAAATCGTCCAATAAGTGCAGTTTTTTCAAATGATTTTCTTTCACTTTCCATACTGCGTCTTTGTATTATGACGAAAACGTAAGTTGCAGCATTATTAAGTTTAGCAAATAATAAAAAAAAAAAGAAATATCATTCTTGGCACATCAAGTTGAGAAAAGTTGTGAGTGTTAAAGGGTTAAAATAGCTTATTCATAAATTTCTTGTTGGTTAAATTATTATCTTCTCTATTGTACCGAAATTTAAATAATAAATTGAAATTTAATTATAAATTCACGTACCACCACAGCTACGGAAGATAATTAACCCTTTGCACTCGAAGATCTTTTTGCTACAAGTAAATTGCAAATCAGATTTATTTCTATATTTAATGTACTTTTATATCATACAAGACCTTGTAACAATTTATGAAAGATTGCTTCGTTCAAACCAATTCGCTGCTTAGACAATTATACGAGGCCTATAGACCTTGTTCTGTAAAATCAATTTTCTACCAAGTGGCAAACAATGTCGCTACTCAGTCGCCACTCAAGTGTAAAGGGTTAAATGGCCCGTTTCGCGTGGCTCACCCTGTATATATCTCTGTCCTCAAGAATACTTCCATTTCTTCAAAAAACACCGACACTCACCGACATTCTTCCAAGTACAGTAATGTCTCCACAAGTGTCAGTCCGCAAGGAACCTAAACCTGACACTTGTAGAGTCAGGGACTACGTTTTTTTATCCCGAAATTTTTCTTGACATATTGATGAGATCTTTCTGATGAAAATGACATCAAACACGACATAATTTGAACAACATTTACTTATTAACACGTTCACTGTCACGCCAGATATTTCACTATATTGAGATAAAACAGACGCCCTGTATTACATTACATAGAGTCGGCCTACCGTTTGAGTGCCAGTTGCAGTATTGGCCTGCCGTTTGAGTGACACTTGTAGAATCGGCCCTACATTTGACTGACACTTGTAGAATCGGCCCTACTTTTTTTTTACGTGGAGGTAGTCCGACTCTATGTGATAAACAATTGGCAACCAAACGGTAGCTCTCCCTATACATTCGACGGATAATGTGTACAGGTATTTAATGTAATTTTTTAGCAATTTGTTTTTGTAATTCATCCAAAGCGATATATTATGAAATTAAATTAATCACTCAATAAGTTTTAACGTTAGATTGTTTCCTCGATATGGCCATGGTGGTCATCAGTGACTGGAGTGCCTCAAATGTTTACAATAATTACAATAGATGTTGTCAACTAAAAATTTTGAACGTCATAGCTAGCTAGACATTATTTTCAATTGAAAAAAAAAATTATAAAGCATAATACTGTAATCCTATGCTTAAAATGTATTTTCTTGTGGTCGCCTGACAGCAACCTGTAAATCTGGCGCGACAGTGAACGTGTTAATAAGTAAATGTTGTTCAAATTATATCGTGTTTGATATCATTTTCATCAGAAAAATCTCACCAACATGTTAAAAAAAATTTCAGATGAAAAAAAGTAAAATTAAAGAAATTATATTTTTCTATTATGAATTGTCGAGCCGTGAAATCTCGTAAAAGAAACCGAGTGGTGTAGCGTTACCCGCTTGGCGCAGCAATGACGCAGACCTAGTAGACACTTGTAGAATCCAACTGGCAAACTGGCTGACACTTGTAGAGACCATTACTGTACTTACACTTCGCTCTGTGCCCCAAAAAGGAAATCGACAAGTACCGATCCATCCGCATCGATAGTGTTCAAAATCTGCTCAGAACAAGGAACCATTTGCAACACTATCGCGACATATTATACATTCGTGCCATTTCTATCTCACTTGCTTGATCGCCAACAATATTAATGTCCAGTAATTCAACGCGTTAAGTCCGGGTTCCATTCGTACGGATTTATCGCGCGATTAACCCCCTCCGCGACGCCTGTGATTAATAAATAATTCGACATACGAGGAAAAAAAAAGAGAGAGAACGTATTGAACTGTCACGCTCAAGAATGTGTCGTGAGCCGAAAAGAAAGAAAAAAAAAAACGAAAAAGAGAAAGAAAGAGAAAAGCGAGTAAGAGGACGAAGAGGTTACTTTGTTCCGTGCATTAGTTTGCAATTAGCGTAGAGTATAATCTTGTATGCTTGACAGTTTGAGGCTTGAGACGCCTCTGACGCTCCTCCCCCTTCAGTGATTAATATCCAATTGATGATTGATGCGCCGTGTGCTATGATTGCTTATTAATTACTGCCAGGTGAGTCGAGGGTGTGCGGCAGTATTTAACAGGTGCAGGACCGCTTCTCGCAGCTTCGCGCGTTGCAGCCAGAAAATAATATGGATATCCAGCCTATAATAATAATAATAATGTTTTCTAATCAGAGAGATGAGAGATGAGAGAGAGACTATTTTGAGCGTTGCTATTTTAGTTTACAGTTGCCTGGCAGTAGCAATGAACGAAATAATACGAGCGTTGAGGAATAGAGCTGCGCTTTAAATGCTAGATTCATCATTAAGTCGCGGCTTTTACTATTCACAAGCGTATAATATTTACGAGCGGTTTGTTCTCTCTGACTGGGATTCCATGTTCTGTTGCCGATTCTGAGGAATTGAATCGCATTTCGGAATTGAAGTTGACGCGCTGTTGCATTGTGGTGCATATGAGATGTCCGATTTTTCAGGGGAAATTGGCATTTCTTTTCGTTTTGATAGAAATTTTAGAAAACGATAAGGAAAATAGTAACTTTCTTTTAAGCCACTCTTTCAGTCGCACGTTGTCTTTTTCTATTAAGAAGAGATGTATATGAATTATTGGTTTTTAGTTAGGTATCTTTTAATTTTCTTTCTGTTCTAGTTCCAAGTTGACATTTTTTTAAAGATTGCTGGAAACTTGTTGTTCATTTGCTATTGGATCCAATATTTATTTTCAGTAACAATATACTGCTATAATAATAAATCCCCAAAATAATTACAGCAATACGTATATTCAATGTTATATCGATCGATATTTTTCCAATCACAATTTAATTTCAAAAATCAATTTGTATTTTCAATAACAATATATTGCTATGATCACGAATTCATCTAAATTCGTTGCAGTAATATATTCAATTATCGGATGAATTTTATATCGATCCACATTTTTCCAATCACAATTTAATTCAGCGAACCAATTATTTATTTTCAACAACAATATATCGCTACAATAACTGATTGCAGCACTATACACAATTCTCTTTCTCCAATGACGATTTAATTTCGAAATCCATAAAAATTCCTTTACGTACATAACGGGTGTCCCGACACTTCCCAACATCCACGTTCCCACACAATGTACAATGTCGTATCAGACGGACATTTCCTATGGCACAAATGCAAATACAAATTTCTCGCGGATATTAAATTTGAATCGGAACCCAGACGGTTGCAAATTTCCTTCGATCGGTAGTCCAGAAGAGAACAAACACACGTTCGGGAAAGTATGTGTCTGAAATCTCAGGTAACTTCCTGATTGACTCTATCGATTGCCGCTTGCTTTACAGGCCAAGCGTTTTCACAGCCGTTGAACAGTCGCGCGAGAATAATGTTCACGAAGGAAGGGCCGGCCACTGAGGACGATAGCTACATGGGTTACTCTGTCACGACCGGGGATTTTATTGGAAACGGTGACAGCGGCACCGCCGTCGGTGTACCCCGTGGCTCCGATCTTCTCGGCAAAGTATGCTCATGAAATATTAACGCGGTAATTGTAAGGAAAAGAAGAAGAGGAGGAAGAAGAGGACGAAGAAGTCGCGGGATTGAAAATTAATTCCCGTTTAGAGAAAGTGACCCGTCGAGAAACCGTTTGTTTCTTCGATTTCTTGCGGGGGAAACTTTCGGAGTTACTTTTCATGACACGATACGGATAGATAGATGGGAGTAGCGTGTGTGATCCGAGAGTTCGTTTGTTCTCTAATTTCTCGGGGAAAGCTTTTAGTTGTGACTTTTTCGTAGAAATTTTATGTAGTTTTATTAGTCTTGACAGTTAATAGAAAATGTGTGTGCAAAAGAGAGTGTTATACTTAATAATTAGGAATTGATTTAAAAGACATTAGTTCATTTGGTGAGATGGGAAACAACATAAGTAAATTTTTTTTTCACTGAACCATGTTTTTCAGATTTATGTACACCACCGGCCGAAAGTTTGAAATCACCAATTTACACAAAGATTTCCAGAAAAAAGTCAGAAAGTAGAATTGAGATAAACTTGAAATGTATAAAAAATTAGCAGCAGATTTAATATTGATGAAAAGTGGGAGGTGATTCCAAACTTTTGGCCGGTATTGCCTATACATCAAACGAGTACAAATTAATATGGTTTATTTCCAAAAAAACCAAACGTAATTTTAATTTTAGAAATAATCTCTATTATCTTGGATGACATTTTTTTATTTATTGGAGTAAGTTATGAATTCCCTGTGTGTAAAAATATGGCAGCTTCTAGTCGATAAAGAAAAAGACACATTGTAGCTTTAGGTGTAATTAGAATCAAATTTTTTGGTACTTGGTTAATTCATGTCGTTTAACATAGAAGCAACATTAATCGTAGAAATTGAAGTAGAAATATCGTGAACTATTATTGATAAAAACAGGTACACTTTCAACAGATTCATAAAAATTTTGAAAAACTATTATGGTCATTACTTTCTCAAAAGAAAAGAAAAGAAAAACTAGCCTTTCCTTGTTTCTAATCTCACCGATTCAATTATTTTTCTCACATATATTGAATTTTTTAACTCCAACTTCAACTGAATTAAATACGAAAAAATTTGTAAAACATTTCTCGAAAACGAATCGTCTCGTTAGAAAATAACAAAAATCAGAGTTAGGCAAGAATTGTTGACTAATTTCAATTATAAATTGAAAATGAAATTCAATTTAAATTATCAATACTATAATTTGGATTAATTAAGTGGCTCGAAGACAAATGAGAAAGTATAAAAAATGTCGAATGAATTATAGGTGATACTTTTTACCTCGAACATGACGAATCCTCGTAACATTACTGGAGAACAAATGGGAGCTTATTTCGGTTACGCCGTTGCTTCCGGCGATATCGATGGCGATGGATCAGACGATCTTATAGTTGGTGCGCCTATGTACACGGTACCAGATAACCCGGAAATGACCATCGAGACCGGAAGGGTGTACGTGTTCTATCAAGGCGCTGGAGCTGAAAAATTCCGTAAAGTCGACTCCAGGTATTTAATCCACTGTATTCTTATTTTTCTGTTTATTATACGTAAGATTTTTTTATTTCGTGCTTTCTCTGCCAACATTTTCATTCTTGCGAATTTTCTTCAGTCTCTATTTTTATTTCCTAACTTTCTTCAGTCTCTATTTTTATTTCCTAATTTTCTTCAGTTTCTATTCTTATTTTCCAATTTTCTTTCAAAATTTAGCAATTTTCTTCAGTCTCTATCCTCATTTCCCAATTTTTCTTGGAAATCCCTTCACTCTTAATTTTCTTTCAAAATCTACCAATTTTCTTCAGTCCCTATTCTCATTTCCCAATTTTCCTCAACTGTCAATTACTAACCAACGTTCCGTCCTTAATCGAATTTTCCGTTGATCAAAGCTTCGTCCAAAACTTCAACTGTCCACAAAAACTGATCAACAAATTCTTCAATTACAACATCAATCCTTCCTCCAACATAATCAACATTCCTCAATATCAAAAACATGATCAACCCTACACAAACCACTCGACGCACATTAAAAAGGAATTCCCTCGAATCGATCAGAATTCGAGTACTGAACCCAGATCGTTGAACTTTCGCGATAATTGCTTATCGTTATCCAGGGACGGGGAGAGCAACCGTGGACGATTCGGCTTGTCACTGGCCTCCCTGGGGGACATCGACCGTGACGGTTATGGTGACTTCGTGGTGGGTGCTCCTTATGGTGGTCTACGTGGTCACGGTGCTGTCTACATTTACCACGGTTCACCAACCGGCGTATTGGAAAAATATTCCCAGGTGATATACGCTGAAAATCTCGACGTGCCTGTGAACACTTTCGGTTTCTCCGTGGGCGGTGGCCTCGATCTCGATGGGAATCGTTATCCGGATTTAGTTGTCGGCGCCTATGAATCCGGCTTTTTACCTGTCATCAAGATGGACTCGTACGTGTCGTTCGATTTGGAGTCGAAGCTGATCTCGTTGGACGATAAGAACTGTACATTGTCGGATGGAAGCAGAGTCACGTGTCTTCCGTTGAGGGCTTGTTTTAAATACACGGGAGAAGGTGTGTTCTCCAAGCACAGTTTTAACATTCAGTACGTTCTGGACGTGAAGAAGACGAAGAGCCCGAGGCTGTTCTTCTTGGAGCTGGAAGGAAGGAACACGATGAATCGGACCATCAAGGTGGATCGGGATCAACAATTTTGCCGCACCGTTCAGGTTAGTGTGAAGATTTGTTTTTTTTTTATTTGGAAACTCATTTTAAAATTACGATTTAATATTGGTAAGTTTGAGTGACTTACTTATTTTTACTTATTTAATGCAGTGACACACAGATGTCATACATTCCACAAATCGTAACAAACAGTGTAGGAATCCCGCATGCAGGACACTTTCAGGAATCCCGACACTTTTGAGAATCCCGACGCTTTTGAGAATCCCGACACTTTCGAGAATCCCGACACTTTCGAGAATCCCGACACTTTTGAAAGTCCCGACACTTTTGAGAATCCCGACACTTTTGGAGAATCCCGACACTTGGAGAATCCTGACACTTGGAGAATCCTGACACTTGGAGAATCCTGACACTTGGAGAATCCCGACACTTTTGGAGAATCCCGACACTTTCAAGAATCCTGACACTTTTGAGAATCCCGATACTTTTGAGAATCCCGACACTTTGAGAATCCCGACACTATCAGGAATCTCAAAATTTTCGGGAACTCGTCGTCCCGATGCTAGAAAAAATTCCTGACCCCATATTTTCGGGTTCTCGCACACTTCTAGTTAACATCTTAAACACACACCTCCACCCAGTTCTACGAGACACCCTATACGTAACTTTCACGGTGTACAGGTGTACGTGACGCCCAACATTCGCGACAAGCTTACATCCCTGGACGCTGAGATGCGGATGAGCCTGGAGGAAGAGCGCTTCGACGACAATCGACCAAGAGACCCGAGGCTCGCGTTACGACCCATTCTCGGCTCGACGACGTCCAGGAAGGACTCTTTGTCCATCAGGAAGAACTGCGGTTCCGACAACGTGTGTATCCCCGATCTCCAGATGAACGTGACGTCGAACGTGCACAAGTACCTGTTGGGCTCTGGCAAACGTCTGGAGCTAGACGTGTACGTGCAGAACATCGGCGAGGACGCGTTCGAGGCGACGTACAACTTGAAACTACCAGCCGGTATCGATTACATCAAGGTGGAGAAGATCGAGACCATGGGAGTACCTGTGCAATGTTCCGCGCCGAAACAATCGAACAACAACACTCTTCGTTGCGACATCGGCAATCCGTTGCAGAAAAATCGATTGGTCAAGTTCAAGGTGTTGTTGCAACCAGTTACGTCACACGGGATGAAGCCGATCTACGAGTTCGAGATGGACGTGAACACTACGAATCCGGAGAATCTGTACACTACCGGAGACAATACGTACAGTTTGAAACTGCCGATTTGGATCGAGACCGATCTACGCGTGGACGGAGAGAGCAAACCGAAAGATTTGTACTATAATCCGGATAATTATACCAGTGATACGAACGCTACTACCGAGGCAGAGTTTGGACCAGCTATGACGCATAATTATACCATTCGGAATCAAGGTCCGTCGGAGGTGATCGAGGCGGAAGCTTTTCTCATTTGGCCCGCGCAAACTTTGGCGGGAAATGAGCTGTTGTACTTGTTGGAGCAACCGGAGACCAACGGACCGATCGCTTGCGAGCCTGCTAATGCTAATTATCTTAGCCTCAAGGTAGGTTTTGGAGACGAGTTGTGACGAATTTGGAAACGAAAAATTTAGGGAGGTCATTTTTTGGACTTTAAAAATTGATTTTGGGAGAATATTTTCACCAGTACATTTTTAATTCTACTTTAATAGACTTTTCTCGTTACGATTGTGATAATATCTTGCAAGAGTATCCTTAGGAACGAGTACCTAATGTTGCGAAAATATTGGATCACTTCAGAGACCAAAAATTCAAAAATTGATATAAAATGTGTAGTAAGTACTTCTCGAAAGTACTAAGAAAAATGTTAATAAGTAATCTATGCTGGAAGCTATATATTGTAAAAAGACAGTGATTTTTTTTTAAAGTTAGCAGGATGTGCATAACGAAAATCTTTTTAGATAATTAAATTTTGAAACTAGGAATAGATATTGATTAACAAATTATTTAACCTTCACAGATCTTTTCAAAATCACTCAAATCATCCACATTCGTAGTAAAAATATTTTTTTGAAGCCTAAAGAAAGACATATCTTTTCAAAACGATCCAAATAATGATTGCACCCTAATTTTCATTGCCTAAATGTAAATAAAAGGAAACCAGGCCCTTTCGTTTCAAAACCCCGATCTTTTCAAAACGGTCCAAACTATGCATTCAAATTCTTAAAAAAATATATTTTTGTTGAATCCCAAAGAAAAAGACGATCGACAAGATGCTTGCACCCCAATTTCATCGCCTAAACGCCCATCCAAAAGAAACCCAGACCCTCCCAAACTAATTCAAACTCTCAATAAAAAACCCCTTCCTCATTCTTTCTAGCTGGACCAACGCAGAAGAGTGTTCTCCCATCACTCAGACCCATCCGGAGTGATTCTGGACGAGTCCCATTCAGGTCGAACGATCAACGTGCAACGCGGATTCGACATAGACCGAAACAAGCTAACCCAGAAAGAAGAGGCAGATATCAACAGCGGCGACAGTTCGAACATCCAGAAATCTCGTCACTCCTCCTCCTCGTCGAACGTGGTCACCAGCGAGACCAGAAGAATACAGTTATCCGGCACCGGGGACAAACCAGACGTTCTAATCACAACCTACACGCAGAACAACTCCGGCACCGGGTCGATCAACGCCGGAGACCTGACTGCTGGCAACAGAGGAATGGTTTTTCACGCGGAATCCGGCGGTTCCGGGGACACGGGCATTCTAGGCGGTGGTTTTCGGTCGAGTGACGGCAGTAGCCTGGGCACGAGAGTGACAGGCCTCGAGGAAGAAGACTACAGAACCCGCGTGAATCATTCTCAAACCTTGGATAACCGCTGGGGCGAGACCGGTGTCTCGAAAGGTCGCACGTCTGACGGCGATCAGAACGAGAGCGAGGAGTCCAGGAGGACGTACCAGGAGTTGTTGAGGCAGCAAGAGCAGATGCAGCGAAAATGGGATGAGGAACGTCTGTATTATCACAGGAGGCAGGAGGAAGAGGTGAGGAGGCAGCAGGAGGAGGAACGAACGAGGCAAGGGGAAGAGGCGAGGAGGAGGCAGCACGAGGAGGACCGAAGAAGACAAAAGGAAGAGGAGATAAGGAGGCACCGAGAAGAAGAGGAGACGAGAAGGCAACTGGAGGAAGAGCGAAGGAGAACCAAGGAAGAGGAGTACAGGCTCGAGCAAGAGAGACGTTACAGCAGTACTTCTGGAGGATATCGCGGTGCGGATGGAGAACTGATCACCGGTGATCGAGAGGAGACCGTTCGAGGAGGAGACTACGGGCTTCAGCTGCGCAACGTCAGCTCGACGCAGGAGTTGGAGCGGATATTTGGATCCCTGTCGAAGTCGACGGACGGTTACCAGTTGTACGACAGACAGGGCAAGCATTACGTTCAGTTCATGGGGAGATTCAGAACGTCTGCCGACGGAAGAGAGTACATAGAGTTCCAGGACGGTTCTATGTTCCCTCTTCAGAACCGTCTCGGAGGGCAGAGCTACGTTTCCGAGTCCTCGGAGCCTAGAGACAGCAGGTTCTTGAGAATAGAGGGCGAACTTCTGGTCGATTCGACCGCCAAAGGGTTCATCGTGCTGAAAGACGGTCGCAGATTCCCGCTGCAGGGCTCCTTCAGCTACACCGAGGAGCGAACCTACACTTTGGGTCCTAGCAGAGGCCAGCAAGCAGGCAGAGCTGGCAACGACTACGAGACGAAGAGTTACAGCAAATCTTGGAACGAAGATTCGAGCCAGGCTGGCGACGTAGAGAGGGACTACGAGTCTAGGTACAGCAGCACTCACGAGGAGAAGAGAATGGAGGATAGAAAAGTGACCAGCAGGGTTTACGGAAGGGAGAATCGCGAGATCGAGGAAGATTCTAAGAAGGAGAGCGGTAGAATTAAGAGGGAGAGCGACATGATCGACGTGAAGCAGTTCAAGAAGTTCGAGAAGCTTCACAGAAGACCCAGAGACCTGGAGAACGATCCTATAACGGGTGAAAGCGATTTCGCCGGCGAGACGGACTATGAGAACGATCCGAGAGCTCAGGGACCGGTTGGTCCTTGCGAGACGGCCAAATGCGTCATGCTCAGATGCGTTTTAGGCCCGTTGAAGAAGGATCAGGAGGTTTGGATCGCGGCTAGATACAGGGTGGACGCGAGGACACTGAAGAAGGTGGCTCTGCAGGAAAAAGTCAGGGTCTCGACGAAATTGGTGGCTCAAGTGACCAAGCAGCCGTTCATAGGCACACCTGCCGAACAGGTGATCAAGAGCCACGAAATTAAGACGAACGTCGAGCCAAGTTCGACGCCATCTGCGCCGGATGTTATTCCTCTGTGGGTCGTGGTGCTCTCTGCCTGTGCTGGAACGATCATACTGCTGTTGCTTATTTTCCTGCTTCACAAGGTTTGCTTATGCAAATTATGCGGCGCGACGGTGGCGTAAGATGGTCCACTTGATGAAGATGGTCGAGTTTATTTGTCGAAGATGTTTCTGCAATGGGTTACACGGTTGAATGTTCTCTTGTGCTGTTGGAAACACTTCTGTTGCGCCATTTGTTTCTTTGTATAGAAAATATTTTATAGAATTTGTTGTTTTAGAAGATTTTTAAGTGCGTTGGGTAGTCTGATGGTTGAAAGAAATGCTGAATATTTAGATTAGCTTGTTTAATTCAAAAAATTTGTTCTAATATCTGGATTAGAAAAATTAGATTTATTTTCTGCTTGTGAAATTGTAGAGTTGATTAAAAGGACGCACTTTTGAAGACAGAAAGAGTGGAAAATTGGGCCATTTTTCTTTCTATAGAAAATATTTGCTAGAATTTGTTATTTTAGAAGATTTTTAGGTATGTTGGGTAGTCTGATGGTTGAAAGAAATGCTGAATATTTAGATTAGCTTGTTTAGTTCAAATATCTAAATTAGAAAAATTAAACTTATTTTCTGCTTCTGAAACTGAAGAGTTCATTATTAAAAGGATGCACTTTGGAGACAAGGAAAAATTGGAAGACTGACAAAAGCAATTTCTAAAAGTGTTTTCAAAAATGTAAAAGGCGCTGACAACGATGTGTAGCTACCACAAGAGACCATTTCAATTTACTGTAATTTTTTATTAACAAACTTTTTGACGCTAGTCCAACTATTTTTTTTATTAAACTTCATATGTAAAAAAAGGAAGATTTGAATGTTAGACAAGTATATCATCTCGCGTCTACACTAAACCGCCACGCTAATAAATTAATTAATTAATTAAAAAGTACAGTAGAAAGCTAACGATACTTATCATTTCTTCCACAGTGCGGGTTCTTCAAGAGGAATCGACCGTCGGACGCGCCAGAGAGGCAGCCACTGAATAGGAACGGCCATTTCCCGCAGTGTGACGATCACTGAAAACCAAACGAAGAGTCGATCAGTGGAGAAGATCCATTTGAAAAATTTTCGAACGAACAAGCCAGAAAGTGCCTTAAATCCTCCTCGAGTATCGCGAAGGAACGAAACTATGCACTGGTTGGATCGTATAGCTCGTTGTAACTGTAACACAGTTCCCGTGAACGAGCAAACGAGACTAATTTGTAATTAACAAAATCGCGAGTGCCTTTATCTCTAAGCGAAGAACAAGGAAAGAGCTACTCGGATGAAAAAATAACGCGATGTTAACGCGAGGAGGTTCTTCAGCGATTCTTTTTTCTACTGCCATTGAATACTCCTTCCAGCTCCTGCAGCTCGACCATGCAAGTTTCTAGTCAGGAGACGTTTTGATTATTATTGTATTTTTTTTTTTTTTTTTTAATTACCTGTAATTTACTTAAGCCGCCCTTTCGTCGACAGCAGCGAGCACAGATCGTCTCGATGCTTTTTTTCAAGGCTGAAAAAATTGTCTCCAGAAATGTCTTGCTATTTATATACAATGAGTAGATTGTACTTCTTCTTCTATTTTTGTTTTTTACATCAATCGGAATTTATTCACGACGTTTCCTTTCTCGAGGGAAACGTCTCGTATCGGAGATTTCTGCGAAGATAAGGAGATCGAAGGGGGAATGATTCGTATTTTATTCGATGGAATTGTACAAATAATAATTATGTCCTGAAACACGAGTAATTGCAGAATAGTTCGAATTGTGTATTGTAAATATACGACAGTATATTTTTTACACGTTTCTCCGATGGAACGTTTAGAGTGGCGATCGATGAATTCTATTCTCCATCGGTGAGATGTTTCAATCGGCTAGGTCAAAGGCTACGATTTTAGACGATGGGAGATCTCGTTCGTCGTCGGCCAGTCGATTTTTTATATTTTTTTTTCTTTCCTTGTTTCCTTTAAAACGAGCTCGAGAACGAGAGTTCTCGATTATTTATTAAAATTTCTACATTATTCTATGTATATGTAACGTATGATAGAGCGCCGTTAACATGAAACCGGGGCTTGCCCCAGTTGTATGTGTGTACAATTTTGTAAATTATTAATTGTATTGCTAAAAACCGTTCAGAGAAGAAACTAGCTAACGAAAATTAATAAATGCGTAGAGAGAGGGTAAACCAATTCCTGAGAAAGCGGTGAGGTAGGAACTATTTCTTAACGTGGTTGATAAGTGCCATACATCAACTTTATAAATTTTCGATAGCGTATTATACGGAATAAAAGTATAAAAAAGTAGTGGAATATCTTCTTTAATTCGATAGAATTTCACTGGTGTTAATTTGGTGTCTAAAAATTTTAGATGGTCGGATTCGTAATCTTCTTTTTATCATACTCTGAAAATATCGAGAATATGTTTAGTGTCTTCTTCTTCGTTTAATTAAATCGATAAAAATATCCATGTTTTTATATCAGGTGACTTAAAAAATGAGCAAAGAGGATTCATTTTCCATACAATCGTTTATTAAAAAAATCACAATGACGTAACAGTAGTAGACATAAAACAAAATGCATGATTGCTATTAACATTGTGTGCCACTGTTTTCTCTACGACAGCTGTATGGATCATTTTTGTCAGATTGAAATGAAGGTGTTAAGTTACGTCGTGCACAAATGATAAGAAAAATCGTTCCAAATATAAAAAAATATATGCTTCAATAATCTCGTTTCGTTCGATAGATTTTGACAATTCTTTTCCACTCTCTCCCTTCCTCACTCTCGCTTATTTTTTTTTTCTTCTTCTCATTGTCATTGATAAAATGTATATAAAAATAATCTATGAGTACAATCGTTTTGTAAAATATTTCTACCGCATTTTGTTTAATTTTTTTACTTTTTTTCTTTTGTATTCTTGCGTTTCGAGAACCTTGAAGTAGAAAAAGACCGTTTAGAAAAATTTCTGGTTCTTTCAACGATTCGTGTTACGATCAATCGAAAACGGCCTGTATAGATTCGTGAGACGAACTGAAAGCCATCACGGGGATGAAGTAAATCTTATAAAAATGTATCTGCATACTTTTTTTTTTTTCTCCTTGTTCTCCTCATCTCGTGAGCTGTCGTTGGATAAAATGGTACAAAAGTCGATACCCCAGAAAAAGATATGTATAAAAAAGGAAATCATGAAAGTTTTTATCCTGGTACAGATATTCCCCGTCCAGAATTATTGCTAGAAGTACTAATCGTTAATTATATACACATATACTATCGATGCGGTTTATCGAGCAGGATGGATTGCGTGTGGTTTTTTTTTTTCTTTGCTTGGAATACATCGAGAAATTAAAATAAATATATTCGATACACGTGGTCGGACAGTGTGTAGGATCGAAACTGCTCTCTAAAACGCTAATGAGCTATCGAACAATATGTACACAGGTTTGCCACTGTACACGTGGCACACATTTTGTTACGATTCTCCTTAAGAGTAATCACGGATCAAGAAGAATTTCCCATTTCCTCGAAGCTTTTGCTCGATAATTTACAATGATCAAGTAGGCAAAGGCTAACTGAAAGATTTACGATCCACGGACGACGATTGAGTTACGTTTACACGATTCAATGATTTGCACGAACCGGCGTCGTGAGGTAAGAGAATACTAAACACGAATGACAATGTAGTTGTACCCGTAATCATTAACAAACACTTGCAACATCATCACACCATACTTAACCCCCAGAATCCTTCTAGTCTCTACGTACGAATGATTGGCTTCTTTTTTTCAAACAGGAGAAGTTCGTTAATCCATCGCATGACGATAGAATAGACCATACTCGTTCGGAGTGTAGTTGTCAAATGACATACACTATGCTTCGAGATTGTCTAAACTTCATTGTCGTTGCATGATGTGACTAAATCATGTACTTCTTCCTGAGGGTCATCCTCGTATCAGCTATCCGGAACCTGAAAAAAGACGAAATGAATCGAAGATATTAATTTAAAGAAATTTCGTTATATAATATGTCGTTAAAAGTTAGAAAAGAGTCATTCATCCTTACTTTCCACTGTAATTGATTGCCAACGTTGTAAAGCTCCTTCAACGATTCGGCTAGCTTTGCAGAGTTCTCTAATTCTTTGTATTTTCGATATAATTCAAGAGCAGCTCTAGCATCCTCGGTAGAATCGTGTGTTTCCGACTGAATTTTTTTACCCAAAAAGTGCCACGTGAGAAAACGCAGTGACACCATACGATGATGAGGTAAATGGAATAACAATACTGTATCGAGGATCTGTTCCGATGGTACGACTAAATTTATCACTCTGTAAATATTAGCAGAAAAATGTGCGAAAAATTAATTATATACCAAAAACGAAACAGAATTGAAATTACGAAAATTAAATGGTTACCTAAAATCATTCTTTAGACCATGACCAACAAATATGATACCGTTATCAACCAGAAACCGTAATTTTTGGTACGTCGACTTTAGAGTGGTTAGGTGTTTGCTACTAAAATTAGCATCCAAATCGCCAGGCTGAATTCCACTGAATTTCGTCAAGTAATCTACTACTTGCTCTTGAGTGCTTATGTAATCATCTATAAACGGAGTTCCTTCCAAAGGACCTTGCCTATTCGAGAAATCCAGAAGATACATTCAACTGCAATAACCTAATCGAAAAAAACCATTAATATTCATTAAGAAATTCACATACCCTCGTATACATGTTATACGTGCAACAGACATGTGACTCGGTTTTATGGTGGACATTTTTCCATCGCTTCGAAGTTCCGACTCTTCTTGATTTAATGTTACGAACTCTGCATCGATTGCAACCAATTCTCCTGCAAAAACAATTTAACTTATTGTTACTATTAATTCGTATATGTATACAAAATTTTTTTTAAACCTAACCTTTTTTTGGCATCTCGTCGGATGTCAATGGGGTAAAGGTAATGCCCCTTGTTCCTCCACTGCGAGCAATGCACTTATCTTCACCGAATACATCGTAGGTTAGGGGGCTAACGAAAGCTGCTGGTTCAGGTGCTGGTACAGCCGTATAATGCAAAACACAAGGGACTTTCCAGTCGAGATTAAACCAAACAGCTTCTTGTGGTGTCACTGCAGATATACTAGATCAAAAATAAAATTTTCCATGTTAGATACAGAACAGAAGGCTTCGTAAAGATTTGAAGGACTCGAGAAACTTTAAAAATAGCTGTCCAATTATGATTGAACGTTCAGTATTAAAATACAAAAATATACTCCTCTTATGGGTAAAGATGGGATCGATAGTGAATTACAATTTATTTACGTTACTATTTTTTACCGGAAAACATTACTTTCACGTACCAAAAATCGTTAAAAATGTACCACTGCGATACCGCGCTGCCAGCCGATCGTTCATGATAATTTGGTCCAACTCGCAACAACGCGACGATATTTCTTCTATCCTCGTTACTCTTGTCGTCGATGTAACAAACAACTGCGCTAAGACTGTACTGAATTTTGCTTATCTTATCCGAATTCTGGATAATTTTGTCGTCTTTCTCTGCAACCTCGTTATGTGGTCCCGCGTTAACATGATTCTCAATCGCTTTCTCTTCGGAATCCTTTCCAGAAATTTCTAGATCCTCTAGTACTTTGTTGTCACCCTGTCCATTTTCTACTACAACTACCTCGTTGGTCTTACTACTTTCGTTACAATCGTTCTTTGGAGTGCTGATCTTTTCCACGGACAATTCACCACTGTTGTTCATAATCTCGATGTTGTGTGGAATCCATGAATGAGAATAGTACAAATGACTAGGCGGTGTTGCGATTGGCGTTGAAGCTGTTATCGGTGGTGTAACTGGTGACGTTGATACATTTTCTAATGACAAATTTAAGTAAAGGTAAATTATAAAAACTGCTAATTAACAGAAGATTACTTGACATATAAGATAGGCTACAATACCTGAATCTCTACCAACATGTCTGAATCTACAGCCGATTCGAGTGCAGTTGTTACCGTATCGACATGGTTTTACAGTAATGGGGACGGGACTCGAAGATGGGCTACTTTCCTTTCCACTTAGTACTTTCTGAACCACTATGTCCATTTGAGCTTGCCAAAACAATTTATCCTAGAATAAAGATAATTTTCGGTCGTTAAAAATCATCGTGGAACTGCGTATCCTTGCAGTCTACGAGGTGCAGTCATGATAAAAGGATCACGATGAAGAAGAAATATGTGAGCTGTGGGAATCTCTATCAACTGTTTAAAAATATCGAACAATGAAAAAATGGTAAACAGAATAGTAGAAATCCTGAATGAATATACATTGAGTATTGAGTATTAGAATTATTGAAAGATGATATACAAATAAGAAAATTGTGTTTAATATCGGTTATCTTTCTTTTTTCATTTAAAAGAAACAGCTTTTTAATATATACTTTATAATTGGTGTATAAAGATTTACTTAGAAGAATTTCAATTATAAAAACATGAATTTAATACGTTTTTTTCATATAGATCTTAATGACTGCCCCCAGTTGAAACTGCTAAATTTTTATTACGATTCACGTTCGTGTTCAATGTACCTGTTGTGTATCTAAACCACAGTTCAGAGCCAATATTTGAGGTAGTTTAGTCAATTGTCGAGATTGGAGAGTGGGTGTAAATTTCTGACAATTGTCACACCATGCAGGTGTAATTTTCTCGGGTCTTAAACTGCGGGCAAGAACACTCGTAAACGGAACCTCCTCTGCTACAAAGAATAATTATTCGTTTGAATCGTGTATACGATTAAGGTGTAATAATAACCGATGTGACACATCGAGCACGTGTATAGCTTGAAGAGTCGCTTACAAGGACGCATTAATTCCGGATAAACTAAGTTACACAGCAACATGATGGAATGTTTCGTAGCTTCTTGCCCACATTTGAGACAGCGGTGTATATGCATTTGTTCGGACCCAAACAGACGACTGATCTCTGTCTCTTCGTCTCGTACCTCATTCTCTTCAATAGACTTTTTGCTGTTCTTATCTAGCCGTAATAAACATTTCGTGTGAGTTTTTCTTAAAGAAATAGAGCTCGATGGTTCGGTATGTAATTATGATAAAGTATGTTGATAAAGAACATTTGTAAAAAAAAGAATGTGTATATATAATACTCTTTCGTGAGGATTTATTCATTAGTGTCCTGGTAAATAAAATATTTCAAGGGAATATTCGTATCGGCAATGCGTTATTAATATGCTAAACATATTGTGATTTTCATTAGTTATAAGTTATATTTTTAATTATTTTTTTGTTCTTGTTTATGAAGATATAGTGAAATTTGGTTGGAAAAATTTAGTTTGTGTCCCCGTAATTCGTCTTTTGTATTACTGACAAGAATACAGGGTCTATTTAGAGAAAATTCAAGCAAATTCCTTTGAAAAATTAAGGCATTGCCGGTACTAGCGAAATTTTTACAAATAGGCCATGCATTTGCGGAAAATTTTTTGAATAAGATAAATGAAATACATAAAAAAAAAATCGAACAAGCAACCGAGAGGCCTCTGTTACAAACGATAATAAAAAATAAGTATAAAAATTTGGTAGCCACGACATCCCAAGAATACAAATAAAAAAACATCTTTTTTCTCGTGAGTGTATAAAGAAAAGAAAAATGGTCCAAAAACGAAACTAAATTCTATTTCAGTATTCTTTGGACAGAATGGTCAAATAAGTGCAACAAACAATCACATACAAAATGAAAAATAAACACAAAGAGTGCCCAATGAGAAGGTTACACGTGAATTGTGTTTACCTTTCGATGTGATCCACATATATTTACCATCCCCCTCTTGCTTTCTCCTTCTTTTTCTTTCTACATCGTGACTCCTGTACCGAGAACCAATGTCCTGCAAAATACTAGGGAAATCTTGCTCGTTGTAAACGAACGGCTGACATTTTGGTCCTGATTTAAGTCGTGTCGCTTCCTCTTCCTCTTGCTGACGCTTTCTCGTCTCCAAAATTTCATAATGAATTTGATGTAGTATAAATCTATTCCAGCTCTGTAAGAAAATATAGTAATGTTTAAAAATATATTTTTATAAAAAGGGACATTAACAGCACTTCAAATTTCAATTCATACTAATTCTTTTTAAATATATAAATACAACAAAGTAACAGTAAAATACTTCTCTTATTAGAAAGATGAGTGAAAATGAAAATTAATAAAAAATATATTACATAGGTGATACAAGCAGTACAATATTTACATGAGTCAACAAATACAATAAGTAATATCTGTAATAACGAATTGTCACATATACATATTTATTTTTTATTCAGCTTAATATCAAGAGCGAATAATAATAATAATTCATCTGCATTAAGCATAAAAGCTATTAGTTGACTACAGGGCTGCTCAATTAAAACCAAATTTCGTCGACCAATTGAATAGCTTTGTATTTCATCCTCCACTCAAGAATCCATAGACCTACCTGTATCAGTCTGATCAAATTAGTTTTTCTCTTCGCTTCCGGATGGAGATCGCTCAATATAAGTCCCAAAGCTGCCGCTTCAGGGACCGTTCTAAAAGCTCGAAGAAAATTCGCAGCCTGGCAGGGCAAACCTGGGGATGTATCCAGCATGTGAAACAAGAATCCTAGTTCGCAGGATAGGCAGAATTCTCTTTGGCAGGAGTGAGATAGCAACGCTATTCTCACAGGCTCACAGTAATAAAGCAACTGAAAAACACGTGATATAGACATGAATATTTGGTAATTCCTACAACTATTATAGTGTCCCTTAAACAGGAACAAGTTTCTCTTGTAGATTCATAATGTGTTGATATTTGATTGCACTTACCTGCAACATAGCGTTACAGTAGCTGTTTGGAAGTGTAGCCTCGAGGCCGCAGAAGCTGGTGCGATTATACTGATCAAAATCGAACTCGTCGTAACCAAGACGTGAGTATTTCACCTCGATTTTACGATAACGCTTAGGTATGGCCACAAAGGTGCCGTCATCTGTTTTAGACCGTGAGTCACCCGCGAAAAGCTTTGCGACTACACCCCGTCGTTTTTCCAAATTGTAAGGTATCTGCAAAAGAGGTATTATTTATTTTTCTTTAATCAATCGAACGTCTTTCTTTTTTCTTTTTATTTCTCTCTTTGGGATGGTTCTCGTCTAACGCGAATTATACAAAGGTTTATGCGAATATACGACGGATGTTTGTATATAAAATTGGACGCGCAAATGTGAAACGCGATTTGGACCGTGAAAAAATAAATAATACCTATTGAATATACGCGTGGGACCGAGCCAATAAGTTAGGCTTGCGTGTATGTCTTACAACCTTTATTTCACTTAAATACAACTTCGATTATTACATTCTTAGAGAAATATATTCTATGTAGGCGTTAGGTATACTAAGACTATTATTGAGCACAAAAATCATTGAACGGGAACGACAAGTGGAACGAAATGCAACGATTACAAACGCATTGTGCTTGAACGCGTGGAATCAAAGGCAGTAGATGGTATTTAAGTTTCTTTCTTTTTTTTTCATGCTACTTCAGATAATGAAAGGATGGACAAATTATTGGAATTCTTGCGATCCTCGCAATCCTCGATTCGCAAGAAATTTCATTTAAATACACAGTTTCGGGGAAACGTCACGTGTCTTTGTGGCTGTTAATAGTGTTAGATCTGAATGCAGAATGCATTGTGATAATCATTGTTCAGTAGACTTCTCAAGGAGTAGGATAGATAACAGTAGGACTAAGAAAGACTGATAGACATAAGTTACATCCCGTCTAACGAAAACCCAGCTGATATAATGACTAAGGGTTTAAAAAAAACGTCCCCCAGTAGATGCGTGGAAAAGTTAGGGTTGGATACAAGAAAGTGGGGGATTGAAGATAGTTCCCTGTACCCTAACGTGTATGTCGCATGGATCGTTTTTGTAAAGCTAAAGCATGCGTCTTTTTGCATATCCGTGTAATCCGTAATTATAGTTGGTTTTTCTCATAATGCATTGTTAACCATTAAATATAGATTACTTTGACAAATACGCCCGTGCGTTTAGTGTGTTATTTCGCAGTCGTTACAAAAAGTTAGTAAAAACGTTATTGCTTTTATGAAGAAATCGAGGCAAATGCAATCACCGCTCCTCAATAACTGCATTTTTACACAGCCATCAAGGTGTTACTGTTGTATGAAATCTTAAAATAAAATTGAATATTTCCCAACATTACAAAACTTCTCATTTAAACAAACTGTCTCTTAAACACTTGAACAATGTTAGACAGAGTTATAAACGTTTACATTTTATAACAAGAATCTACAACACCGTACTTGTATTAAGTTTAATGATATTAGTGAGATCAGGTAAATATATTTGTCTTAGATTTGCGATCACGCTTTTTTTCTCAATATTTTCCATTTTATAAACAAAACATTATTATTTTAATCGAAGTATATAATAACTAAAATTGAAAAAAAGGTCTGAATATTACATCGGTACACGTGTTCAGTGTCCTATTTAGGTCTTTTTCTCTCATACATTATTACATAGGAAATTAGTAGATTACTGTGGACTAGTTTATGAAAATATATCACGCTTTTTTAACGTTGTTCATAGACTACAATATTTATCACGAAACGTTATCAGTCTTAAATCACATCATATCATTTTGGCTTCTCTACAAAATTAAAAGCTTCAACAATATTGAGTTCGCCTTTTTTTTTAACGATATATTGCTCCGATTGATTGCATTAATTTATACACGAAGACTGTACACCGAAGCTATGGTAAAATCACTAGTATAGTATACTCCTTAGGTATGCAATGTAATTAATATTGTCTGTATAACTGATTCAATTCATCATTTGTATCAACAGATATATGGAATATCATTGCAATCAATTAGAATTGTGCATTCCATGTAAAGCTAACAGATCATAGTTCCTCAAGAACAATTTAAACTATTTAAAGTTAAAGATAAATGGAGATTATTCACAACGTTCAGTAGCGATAATTTGTTGTGTTCTATCACCTCACCACTGTGATATAACTAACAAGAAAGTTAAACATTCAGAACAACATAATTAATTTTACACAATTTTAAGTGGAAGTCAGGAGAGACACTTGGTGAAGGGAAAACAGGAAATTCGGATTTTAGGAGAGCTTTAGGAGAGTTGGAGAAGAATATTGTAGAAGAGTGGGAGAATATTGTTTCCTCACTTGATTTCTGCGAAATGCCTGAGGATTTGGGGCATAACCTATTGTTCCTTGCATCTTCATTGTGCGCAGTATTTCAGTGTCAATAGATGGTGTCTTCCTGTGAAAACATACAAAATATATTTGGATTTAATTTTTTCCTAGTGAGCAATAGTCATTATGTTAGATTTCTACTCTTTATTTTCCTGATCAACTCTAAATTGTGATTACCTACCTATAAATTTTTTTTAAATATTCTTCTGGCCAATCACTTAATAATGGATGTCCAGTATACACAATTGGTATTGTACTCAGTGGTGTAACATCATCACCAAATGATATGGATTGAACTGAATCAACTGGATCAGCAAATTCTGTTGGCCTAGATAAATGGAAACAACCATCTATTTTTATTTTTATTCACTTAAAGTAGCTGTAATTTTTTTTCTTAACTGTATTTACTAACCGAGAAAATGTATTAAATTGGGGTTCAGGTGTATTTGTAGACATAAGATGTATAGAACCTGCTGAATCTCCAAAGCATAGACACTGAGATGTAGGGGACACATCAAATGACAATATCATTGCCCCACCAGTTGCAACCTATCGGTATAAGAAAATTTGTATATACAATATATTTGGGGATCTTATTCTTTCTAAATATTGCATGTAACATTTACCTGATACAAGCATGTCATGGCTGGTTGCACATTAGCATATATAGTATCAAGAAGTTGCATTTGTCCCAATGGTGATACAACAGCTATGCGACTCGAGTAACTAGGTAGGAACTTCAATAAAAGAGGATATACCAGAGTTGTAACAGGGCTCAAAGCTCTCATTTGTCTCAAATCATATGCCATTAAAAATCTATCTACTGACAGGCCCTGACGGCTAAATCCATAAACACAATTGAAAATGTTAATTTAAAATGTTATAAGAATATTTAATGAAAAAATAGCAATGATGTTCTGAGTCTTACCTGTTACTAAAACCACAAGTAACAAGATAATTTCCTTGAACATCAAAATCACTGAGAGAACCACTGTGGGTATCAAATGTATGTTCTATTGATAATGTATTTGGATCCCTGAGATCAATTCTTCCAGCAGGATTACCACAACATATAAGCCTGCTATGCTGCCTTAAAATTGCACAACCATTTTCTCCTACATGTACCTATAAATACAAAAGTACCTATAAGTACCTATAAGTACTAATTCATGAATATATGCTTATGTTGTTCTACCACCATATCTAGAAACTCACTAATCCAGTCTCTTTTCCTCGAGTAAGATTGAAATCAATTATTTTTTCTTGATGTCCCCCCATAAGTAATCTTGTTGGTGAGATTTGAAGCATACATTGCATGTCTATCATATTTGATGACCTAGAAAATTGTTTACTCTTTCACAAACTGTTCACTCATTTAATATGAGTAACACACAAAATTAACATACATGTGTGTAAATATTGGTATGCCACGTCTCAATTGACATCTTAATAAACTCTGTGTCAAGATTAAAATTCCCTCATCTAATGGATGAATGTGCCGAACTTCTTGTGTAGCATGAACTTGAAATGAGGTATACTTTTGTAAACCAGCTCCATAATAAGATGTCACGTGACCCTATAAAGCATTGTGTTTGATCAATGCATTTGTCATTTCAGTAACTATTTTAAATGATGCTTTATTAGTCTCCATAGTCAAACAAATTTCATAAAAATACATATTTCTAAATAAATATTAATGAAATAACATGGTTTTAATGCTATTTTAATACTGTGAATTGCACAAAGTAACTGACACATGTAACAAAACACATAATTTGTTAGCTGCACCTATGGCAATAAATTTCACAATACCCCTTGATTCCCCATCCACATAAGTTCTTCGACATTATCGAAAGTGGCAGTGGAAACTCCAAATCTATCCCCCCCATCAGCAAGTAAAGTACGAGTTTCATGAAATTCAGCCCCAGTAAAGTCTTCCCCAAATTGTTCTGTTGCAGGTACATATTCATCACCAGGTAAAACATAATTTGATTCTTCCCCTGTAATGAGAGATAAGAGAAAATTGACAATGATAATTCTTGGTATTATTACATTATCAATCACATGGTTAAACATAACTTGTGATAACATCTCAACATTCAGTATAGGTTACTATTATTATCATAAACAATAGTTCTTAACATTGTTTACGTAAGCTTTAATATTTGCGCTCCAACAAGCGAAACGAAATTTCACGTTCAAAACAGCAACGTCACAGCTGATTTGGAGAGAGTGTTTAACCCGTAAATTTTGCGGGATCGTTCGGCGTCGAACAGCTGATCGAAACTAAGCATCGCGCTTCAAAAACAACGGAAGGAGAGGGAGTAGCCAATAACGGTTCATTGAATTGCCGGACAAGAATTAATGAGACAAAAGATACCGTGTGATACTAACGGCCAGTGGGACACCAGATCGCGCACCATGATTCGAGCAACGAGTGTCACGGAACGAAGAGGTTTCGCGCCTTTCGGAGTCTTCGAATCTTCGGTCGAAGAGATTGCACTTCGATGCGACAGAATGCTTTTTGGCGCCTTCAGAAGAAAGAAACAACGTTAAAATAAGATATGAAAAGTACTTACAAAGCAATTCTTGCTCGTCACCGCCGCTATCAGCCGTGGCCTCTACGGACGGGTCGTAGTGGCCTAAAACCGGGTAGTCCATAATATTCCCGTCTTCAGACCGTTCGTTTTTCAAGCATGGAATTGCCGTCCGTTCGTGGATAGCCGTGGAATCGTCGTCCCGACGATCGTTCTCTTTTCATAGCACACTTTCTGGCACGCACACGCACGCACGCACGCACGCACTTTAGTCGCCTTGGCAACTGTGCAACAAGCGAAACACTTCGTTGTAAATATTCACTGTTTCCACGTTGCTATACGCTCTTGACGATGAATAGTATGGACAGCATAACACTTCCTGCACTGCTTTATCACGATACATGAACCGACTCGCTTATTGAAGTACCTTTAATTCATGATTCCACTTTTCTGCGCGTTTCACCCGTGTAAGCTTGTATAATGGCCTTGAAGGTGGCGACACCTGCTGCTTCGCGCGTAAAACAGTAACGCCAATGGCAAGGACGTGAAAATCACTAGATTTTACCGTTTGTCTATTCGTCGTGCACAATGGAGCGGAGGCGCGAAGCTAGGACGTGAATTTGAGAATAAGTGCGTTTGAAACACTCAAGATTGACGAAATCACGCAGAAAAAGGTACGAATGTTGAGTACTTTTACAATTTCACAAATTTAAAACATGCAAGGTCCGAATTTCGTTCAATTTTAAACGTTGCAAATGGTTTCACTCGCAATCTGTTTCGCGCTATTCAAACTAAGGAAATAATGTCTATTTAGCGCCAAGCTACAAAAATATTTGAAATCTATCGTATACTCGCGTTATTAGGATATTGAAATCAATACGATATCTTACGATCACAGAGGTTTTAGCAACCTGTAATTTACAATTAGAGTGGAATTTGCGTGAAGCCATTTTTACGTAATTTTTTCTCGATGGTGACAAAAAAAGGTACATTTATTATACATTAAATTGTTGAATAAAACGAATTATTTTGTAATTCTTGTTGCAATAATATTGCAGTAAGTATCGAAATTTAAGAATTCTATATCACGCTAGTAAATTGTATTCAGTATGTCAAAGCATATTTTGAATAACCGTTAGATGTTATATAACCTTTAAATTGCAGGAAACAACTCGTGTAGAGAATGAAAGAATTTATTTACCAGACATCGATATATGTACACATATATGTCACAATTTATAATTAGCATTTTACATATCACATGAGAAACGATGAAAAATCACAAAGTGTCGAAGTGTTCGCTGTTTAGTGAGATACAGATATTATTACGAAAATACATTTCGAAAGTGATGCAGCATTTTCCAAAATACAATCATCATTCAGTTACTTTCACACGATCGTGTCGTATCGTATACCATAAAATACGAATAAGCGAAGTTCGAGCTTTGCTGTTTCTTTTCCTATTTCGAAAAAATTGATTATCTATTAAGACGAGACGTTTTCTACAGATGTTTAACCTAAAAAAAGAGAAAGAATATTATTATATTAATTAACTATACATTAGGAAAGATAAATATGGAATTTATCAGACAATTGAAACGATTCTTATCGTTCTCTTGATAAGAAAAAGAGCAATGGCGGATAAAGTTCAATATTACAATATAATTCACTTATTTACGAATTTATTTCTCTCGAAATATAGAACGAGTGATTCGAGGAATGCAATTTTTCTTTAATTTTCGAAAATTCGTTTCTTAATTATTTAACACGTTT